GGTGGGGGGTCCACCTAACTAATGCATCTGATAGGTGCCATGTGGTGTTCCCCTTCAGAGCACTGGGAATTTGATTTGAAGACCCAACACATCAGGTGCAAAGTCTGTTGCATTTTCATTTGGCTCAGGGCCAAAGCGAATGCCACATGCAAGCCAGCGGTTCGTACATGACTGCCTGGCAGGTCACTTCTTGTCTACAAATGGAGGCATTGGCGAAGCTCTGAACGTTGGCGTTTTTGCGCTGCAGCCCCACAAGGCTTTGCTGAAAGCTGCTGTTGACTTCGCGTGCTTGGGCTGTTGATAGCAACTTTTGATGAATGTCAGGCCAACGAGCCGTATGAAGCGGTAAGTCTTTTGGGATCAAAAGAAGACTTGATCCACCATCTGGGAGGGTAAAAGGGTGCACAGCGCCGTACCTCTTCAAGCCGCAAATAAGCTAAGAGCTTCCTCGCAGTGCATGCCTGGAGTTGAGACCCCTACAACCTGAAACCCTCAAACAAGGAGAAATTTGGGGCCACTAAGCCCTAAGCCCCAAACCATCCCAAACCAACCCCAGCAACCCTTTTACCCAAGCACTACATCCCAAACGCACAATACAGGCGGGAGGCAGATTACTCGCAGATGACCGGGTGGGCCCAGGAGGGCTGGCGGCCCAGTGGCGGCTACTACGTAGGCGGCGAGTGCGGGCAGGGCACCTTGGATGACGTTGGGTGTAGGGCACAGGGTTTAGGTCTTCAGGTTTCGGATGTTGGGCTCAGGCCCAAGATGTCAAGATGTGAAGGGTTCAAGGCCTCAAGGGTTCAGGGATTTGAGTTTTGTGCTTTGGATTTCAGGCTCTGAGGGTTTGGGTTCAGTCAGGGCTTCGGATTATGCGGTTTTTAGCAGACAAATTTTCTGTTAGGCTCTGGTCTCCTTGATGGTTTCCCTGGACCTATCAGTGGGCCTTGGGTGATCATAAGGTAGAGCCAACGCATCCAAACGTCATAATGCCGTGGTGCATGGCACTGCATGGATGCACAGGGGCTGTGGATAAATAACTGAATGCCCTTCCAGGTTCCCAAGCCCTCTAAATAGGATCTCTAGGGCTTCATAATGGCCTGGCGGGGAGGCCCTCCAAGACTCGAGCAACGCACAACAAAGAGCAATAAGCCTGCCGGTCCTACTGTGGTTCCTTATAGGGCTTAGGATCCCCCACATCTAGCATGGAATCCCAACAGGAGCACTGCAGAGATCACTGCACTTGAAAAAGCTGCCAAGTTAATGATGATATTATGAGAGTACTACTAACAAGCACAACAGTAAGTAACAATAGTAATAATTTAGTAATAATGGTCAATAATCGGAAGAATTCAACGCGAAAACCTCGGCCCTCAGCCCTAAACTCTGAGGCCCCCCCAAATCCGCCAGTGGTTTAGGCTTTTTCCACACCTTCTTCTACAAGCGAAGTTCCTCCTTGAGGCCTGGCTGAGGGCAAGGAACAGCTTTGGGTGACCCTACACCTTAAACCCTAAACGTGAAACCCGGGTTGCAGCAGGGTTGAAGTTTTCAGGTTTGATGTCTGCTTACAGAGTTTTCAGGAATGGAGTTTAGAGTAGGATTGGAGTTTGAACTTTCCAGGATTGGGGTGAAGATTTTCAGGATTGGCGTGTAGAGTTTGCAGGATTGGAATTCCCAATATTACCCCAATATAATCCCAATATTACCCCAATATTAACCCAGTATAATCCCAATATTACCCCAATATTACCCCAATATAATCCCAATCTCAGGACTTGAGTTGAGGGCTCTCAGGACTACGAGTTAAGGGTATCCAGGTTGGGAGTTTTCAAGTTTGGTGATGGGCTGCTAACTTTGAGGCTCTCCTGCGAAAAGAGAATCTCTAAGCGATCCTACCCTAAACCTTAAACCCTAAACCCTACATCCGAAACCCTAAGCCCGAAGCTGAGGCGCGGTAACATCATGCAGATGTCCGCAGGATCCTTGTGTATCCCTACTCGGAGATTCAGGGTAACTATAACCCAGGTATACAGTAGCTCAGTGGCTTCTAGCCATGTTTGGACAGGGCTCATAGCTGGGTTATTGGTACAGTCCTGATTTGGTTATCATTGCTCTGAACCTCCAGGCATCTTGAGATATCTCCATGTAGTTTCCCTAAATAAGGGGATCCCAATATAGACCGCAATATACTATAGTCCTTATTATAGGGACCCCCAAAAAGGTATCCCTAATTTTGGGAAACCCCCATGTGAGACCAGCCAGGATCCTGGATAGAGAGGCCCCTAGCACCTCCAGCACGGAGATAGATATGAGCTATAATCTAAAGTCCTTGGAGTATTATAGGGGTTATTAAGGGGTAAACTGAGAATTTAGACTGTAGCTTGTATTTTGGCGCGGCTCAGCCTTATTAACCCTCACCCCTGCTGCACCTGTCAAGCCCATGAAATCCAAAACCCTCAAATTCCCAAACCTAAACCTTCAGCAACAAAGCCTTAGACACTTAACAACTCTCCTGAACCATGCCCTGGACTCTCAACCACTGAACCCTACACCCCCCAAGACTCCTTGAATCATCCATAACTTCGACTCTAAATTAGAACTTCCTTGCGAAAGCTAACTTCTGTTATTAAGAACAAGCCGATACCAGGTTGCCAACACTTGCCAAGGTAGAGTATAGCCTTTATCCAGCTGGGGCTTAATTTCTGTCAGTTTATCTTACATGTCAAGCCGTACCAGTCATCATTGGTACACATTATGGTAGCTTTCCTTTAAGTTCCTCAGCACCAAGCCAGTCAACCCAGTCAAACAGTTCCTGGTGAACCTCAGGGCGCTCCTCAAGCACGTGGGCCGGAACTGGACGGCGGCGCAGGCGACATAGGAGACTGGGGATTTCTTCTAGGTCCAGGTAGAAAAACGCCCAGCTCAAGTTGTAGCCAGGCTACAGTTGATAATGTTATAACTCATATTCTTATATCCCTCTAGAAATTGTTATCATGTATAACGCTAGTAGGGTTGGTTAGAGTAGGATTTAGGGAGGGTTTATCAGAATCCGGAATGACGATTGTGCGTTTGCAGGATTTGACAGGGTCCTTGCACAGTATGGTAGTTTCCCCAAATAGTGGGCCCCCAACAAGACCCTAAACTATTATAGTCCTTGTCATGGGGGCCCACAAGAAGGTACTCCTAACTTTCGGGAAGCCCTAAATCCCAGACCCTGTATATCCCTATTTACTATATATCCTCATATTTCCCCTACTCGGACATTGAGAACATGATTTGGGGCTACCCAAGTGGCTTCTGTCGCAATCTGGCGCGCAGAGTCAGGTTGGGAGAGACACGACACTTAAGCCAGAAATCCTCGACTCCGCAACGCTAACCCTAAGCCCTGAACCCTAAACCCCAAACTCAAAACCCTAAACCTGTTTGTGAGCTTCAAAGCCTGGAGGGACAGGCTTTGGAGTCAAAGGATGCGCTGTCTTGGTTACAGGCCCTTTCCTCCCCCTGTCTCTAAAGTGGCATGGAATCGTGCAATGCCCCTTGTAGCAAAAGTGGCAGTAGTCAAGGGGGTTTTGCGTCTTCATGTTAGTCTGGGAGTTGGAAAGATGTTTCAGGACTAGCATCGGTTGGGAGCTTTGAGGACAGTGGAAGAGGTCCCTTGCTAGGCGTTGTCTCGGTACTGCGATGTTTAAGATGTCGTGCTGATGCTGCCGCGGTGGCATACGATATTTTCCAAGCCTAGTAGACTTTACCCTTGAGCATGGTTTGGGTAAAGCCAAAGCGTGGAGATGGCAGCCTTAATCCAGAACTGAATGTGAAGCCACCACCGAGCCTAATGGGAGATTCTGAGCCCTCCCCTTGTAGAATCCTTACTCAGGATCCTCAGATTTTTTGTAATCCCATGTATCCCTAGGGTCTGAAACAGCTTTTGTTTTCAGAAAACCCGATGCCCTGAGATGGAGGGGAACGCAGGGGATTAGCAGTGGGTTCCATAACCCTAGACCCTTAAACCCTTAAACCCTAAACTGGTCTGGGCAGGTGGACAAGTGCATTTGGAATTACCAGACCAGCTTTCAGTGCCGGCGAGGCTTCGACTGCGGGCGTGTGCGGGTACACCACAAGCCCACGAACTTGGGTTGCTGTTAAGGAACATAAGCTGAGTTATCAGAATATGGGTATATAGTACATAACAGGGTGTCCGCATTGTAGTAGCTTAATTCAATTTTTTCTACGACACCCAATGAACTTGGATCAAGATTCTGGTTTTGATTCAGGCTGTGTGGAGGGAGAAGTTTGCCTGTGTAGCTTTCAGATTTAGGGTTTGGCGTTGTGACATTTTCAAAGCTGTGCAATCAGTACCTGCAGTTTCTCAACATTACGCAAAGAGAAGCTGCATCCTTGATATCCTCATATAGTCGCCCTTAAGTAGATAGAATACGGCTTGGGGTATATTATAACAAGTAACCCTAGGCCCTAAATCCAGTGGTTCCCTTTTTCTTTTCCATTATCCCAATAAAACCACCAGATTCTATCTACTTAAGGGGGACTATAACCCTCAACATTGTCTAAACTCCTAGTATTTTCCCTCAGTAACCCCTATAGTAGTCCCTTATATAATCCCCTATATAACTTCCCTTTAAGGAGTTTAGACCTCTTTCAGCGACTCCTCAACTTAGGAAGCCGGGATCGGATCCAGAGGAGTGCTTGAAGAGCCAAGCGCGGGCGCATCAAAGGATACGGGCAAGCTTGAAAGATGGACATTTGTAATATAGTGTTATATAGGGTTACATGGGGTTATTTAGGGTGATATAGGGTGATATAGGGTTATATAGGGTGATATAGGGTTATATAGGGCTATAATACTATAGTATATAATCCCTATATAATCCCAATATAACCCTTTGTAGTAATTTCTGCAGTAAGTAGAGGTGGTAGCTCTTCACTGTTTGTGTTCGGTACTTGGTTCCGTAGCGTCCCAGAAGTTCATCCCAGCCAGCTCCTCGTGAGTCTTTGACATTTGCAAGCCTTTGGGTGGATACACTCCCCCAAACTAACATGGAAACCCATATAGCCCTAAAAATTGCAATCTTCAACTCTTAGACTCTGAGCCCAGCCCTTGAGTCCTAAACCCTAAACCGCTCCTAGAATGGCTTCTGCCCGACTGCAGGACGATCTCTGTCAATGCTGAAGGTGCCTTGCAGCAGGGCATCGATGCAGAGGCCAACACACTCTTGAAAGTGCACTGTAAATCTGTCATGTGAGTCCCTCATGGTGACCTTGGTAAGAGTCCCAATTCTATATTCCCATCCTTCATACTTGTCATGCGAATTTGGATCTCGGACTTGGGATTGAAAGTGCGAGGTTCATTGGTTCAGGGGTGACCCGGTCGGGGTCAAAAGTCCTTAAGTCCTATTTTCCGGGTTTCAGGTTTTAATAGTGTAAGGTTCGCGGCATGGCCAGGTCGAGGCATCTAACTTGTGATAAAAAGCCGGCCACAGCTAACTGGAAACATCCGCTCATCGAGTTCCTTGGTTTTCATGTAGCAAGCTTCGAATTCTGGCTTCTAACCTTGGCTACCCGTTGCTGAGGCGAACCTGCAGCAGAATTTTTCGGTGATAGGGACGTGTAGTTGCTCGGGACTTGTTCCCGAAGCGCAGGCTCCACACGGCAACTGTACTTGCAAGGATCATAATAAGTCCTTCTCAAAGCAAGTATTCGCAGCCCAATTGAGTAGTATTTTATTTAGGGAAATTATGGTACCCAATATAGAGTAAGATTATATCCTCCTTTTGGCAAGTATTCGCAGCCCAATTGTGAACGGGGCTATCCGAAACCAGGTCGGCTTC